GAAATCTTTAAAGGTTAAGAGACAAATTTGTCTAAATTCATTTTTAACCTGTTTTGAAAAAGTTTGTTTAAAATCAGTGGAGATTTACCTTGTTTTTGTGAAACTAATCTTGTCATGTCTATTGGTATCTAGTATTGAATTTGTAAGATGTTTTCTTTTCTAACTGCTAAGTTTTAATTACATACTTATGATACTGTGGGATGTTTTACTACAATTGTACTCGTTTTTTTCAATAATTGAGTATTCTTTAGAAAAATAGAATAAAACAAACTAAAATCCTCAAACCATTCGTTTATTTTCAATACATGAATGAAATGTAAATGCTTTATGTTTTTTTGATATCACTAAATGAACTGTGCTGAAAATCTCCAAAGCCATATACAAATTTTATTAGGGGGGGAAAAGGACTGATTAGTTCAATGAATTTACATGTGTAAGAGCCAGAGTTTTTACTACTTTCACTGAATGAACATCCTAGGAATTTTAGAAAGAAAAGAAAAATGCATTGACGAGTCCACAATGTATTTTAATGCTGCACATGGGTGGAGAAACATTCTACAAAGAGTGTATTATTGTTCTAATTTTAAAAATACACACCAAAGGCATATTAAGGAATAATGAGATTTAGAAAAAGAACTGAGTGTTGTAGGTGATCAAATACAATCTTAAATCTTTCCAAATAAAATTTCATTTCGTTTATAGAGGAAGCATTTTACACAAAATATCTTTCAGAATTATGCAGACCAGTCTGCCCTGCCATTCTCGGTGACATGGTGCAGAATGTTACTTTAATCCACTGAGCTTTTTCTGACATTTTTCTTAACATTGCTGAGCCTTATTTAGAGCAGCAAAGGAGATGTGTGCAGTTTCATTTGACACTGATGGGTGTTTCAAAATGTTACAGGAGAGAGAGAGAGAGAGAGAGGAGAAAAGATTTGCTGCTAGTCATTTCATCAATAGAGCTACAGGAGTAATTACTATTTGTTAAAAGTTTCTATTTCAAATGAAGCTAAATTTTAAAGAAGCCTCATCCGTTTAGAAGAGCTGATGCTTGGAAGAGGAGGGGAGAGAATGCACATTAGTGATTACATGTTAAAGTGTGCTCAAGTACTGGAATCATTTAAAATGTATTGTGTTTTTAGATGAAACCTACAGCAAAACCACTCCTAAGAGGCTTAATTTAGGTTTTATAGGAAGAACATAAAAAAGACCAAGTTACAGCCACACACTGAAATATGGGGTACATTTAAAATATCTTCATTTAAAAACGTATGTTTATTTTCCCTCCTGGGATCACTAACGTGTGTCTCGACAGAGAAAGCGAGGACATGCTACATTCTTAAAAATTATCTGTTAAAGGGATCGCATTCTAAGACAGGTTTGAGCATTTTTATGACTACAGATAACCTCTTAATTATGTCGCTGCCTTCCACTTGTTAATCAGGGGGCATTCAACACTCGTTAACCAGCGAGTGGTTGCCTTTAGAAGACTACGCTATTTTTAAGAATTAGAAACACTTTATTCCCATCATCATATTATCGCATGTATGATTTTAGCACTGCTAGAAACTTACCTGCTTGAAATACCAAACACCAAAGACAAGGTCTAGATGCCTGTAACGATGTTGTTAATTAGTTCAACTTGTGCAGCTCATGAAAAGCTTTAAGAGATAGATAATTTTACTTTTCTTGTCCCCCCACCCCCGCGTCTCCCCTACCTCTCACACAATTCCTATTTGAATCAATTTTAGGTCTCTTCTGCCGCCACCAGCGTGTGAGATACTCAGAGACACTTTCAGAGAGCAAGGTATAAGTGGAGTAAATAAAATCATTTCACTATTGCTTTATCAACCCTCCTAGGTAGTTTTCCCGCCAGCCAACCTGCACTGTTAAAACCCATAAAATTATGCAATAGTGACTTCTTTGGAGGTTCTTTAATCAGATAATGGCCAGTGTTAGGAGGGAAGGGCCCAGGGCGATGTTGCTGGCACTTAACACTGGGCTTGGTCATTACGCGTCTGGTAGAGACCAATAAACAGCTGATTACTACCCTATAAGGAGCCAATATTTTTACATTTATCCTAGTTTTTTTTTTTTTTCTTTTCTTTGCAACTTCTCATAATGGCAAGGATTTGTCAAGAAGACCTACGAGCAGTAACCTCACAGGCCCCTTAAAAATAAGAATCTTCCTAGCGTGAAATGATGCCTTTGGTGAAATGGTGAGAATGATTTTGGCTTTTACAAGAGCAGAGGTTTGATTACTTTAAAGCCCATTTCTTTCAGATGGGGAGACCCCCGGACACCATCCCTCACTCTCCTGTCCCCTTCTCTCTTCTATGACAGGTTCACAGGCTGCAACCAAGGGGTTTTAAAATGCAAATATTTATATTTGAACTCTGGCAATAACAGAGTCATTTTGCTTCCTCTGTTAGCCTGTGAAAATTGATGCTGCGTACCTGGAACTACGTTTCATTTCTCTCTTTACACATGAAGATATTATATAAATAAAAGATAATTTATGGAAAGGAAACAGCCATTTGAAATAATTATCCTAAATTTGACTGGGTAATCTTTTAAGCCTTTAAGAGTCAGAGATGCAGATTTCCACACTTTTAAAGAAAACTTGATTGCAACCGGGAAATGCGTGCTTTTGAACACCTACTGAATTTGAATGCCGGCGTGGGTCAAAAAAGAAAAAAAGAGGGATAGAAGGAAGGCAGGAGAGAAAAAGGTGTGAATTTTACACATGCTTTAAACTAAGGTATTCAACCACATGTTTAGACTTCTTGTTACAATTTTATTGACTCTCTTTATACCTGAATATAATTTTTTCATAACCTATGTAAATTGCAAAACAGTGAGTCTTATAAAATGCCTCTCTTGCCTGGGATCCTCATCTTAGTATGAACAGCACGATACCCAGAAGAAATGGACCCTAATTTCAGAACCTCATACAAAGCCAGGCAATTCTTGAGCCAAACAAACAAAGGGGGTGTAAGCGATTTCGTTTATTTTGATAATCCTCCTCCTGCACGGGAGCATTTTGCTGTCTTTGTCAAAGTGAATGACAACAATTTGGCCAACTCTCTCTGAGCTGCACTCAACAGTGACAGGCAAATTATCAGAGGCCCTGCACTTCTTATTATCAGAGGAGAAGCCATCAGGGGGACGCATGGAGGATACCTCTCCCTTGTCACTATTTGTCAGTGGGACAAGGGCCACTGCTATGGGTAGCTGACAGGTAATTTCAACAATAACAATTACTCCTATTACTGGTGTCATAAACAATTCGCCCAAGGCGTGACAATAGCAAAGCTTTATAATTCCATGCCATATAAATAAACGCCAGCAGGTAACAAGTAATTTAGCTCCAATCAAGCTTTCACCCTGGCATTAATATTGTTATCGCAAGAAAATGGAAAATTGAAAAAATTCAATATGTTAATGAATTAAGAGAAGTTCAAGGGCTAGACGAGAGGGGTTGAAAAAGGGAAACCAAAATTATTATGGTATCATATTTGGTGCCATGCTGAGGGCCAAACAGCAGTATAATTACTTTAAGATTAAGAAGGGGATCAAAAGTACTGTTTGCCTTAGACTTCAGAAAAACCTGGGAAAAACATGACACGGTCTGGGAAAATCCTCCTGTCTCTAATTTCTGAAGAACATAAGTAGAAATATAAGAATGTGTATATAATGTAGCATCTCGCTAGCTTTTTTTTCCACCTGAAATCTTTCATCGGAAACAGAGGCATGAGTACCAGAGGAACATTTCCATCTGTTTAAGGAAATCGCATCAGCACCTGCTTCCTTTACATTAAGTCTCATACTGTACTGAAACTATTTTAATAGGCCTATTTTTATCTGTGCTGAAGGTAAAGCTGAGAACCCCTCTTTGCTCTCCAACTGTCCACAGTTTGGAAGTGGGCTCGAGGATACAGTCCAATCTTCCTCCGTAAAACTTCCTGATCAAATGAATTTACAATTTCACTATCTGTCCGGCAAGACAATGTGCCATCATAGTGACAGCAATAAAAGAATTTGAAAATCTCTAATTAGGGCAGCTGCGGAGCAATTAACGCATGTCAAATTTTACTTCATTAAGTGCCACTCTAATTTTCCCTCTAAAAATTAATGGATTTTTTTTCCTTTTGGTATGTGTGTGTGTGTGTCCCCTTAAGGCAATGTTGATTCAAATCTGCTCAAGATGCAGTGTTGCACAGCTAAGCATCTTCTTGATTACAGTCCGCCACACTTCTAACTGCGCTCATTCTCACTGCCACGGATACTTTGTCAACAGTCAAATTACACCACGCTGATAACAATGCATAATGGTCTTCCTCCTCCGAGGCCGCTGGCAGGAGATGGGGTTCATAAAAATGTGATGTTTTCTTCTCAACTGTTTCTTAAGGAAGTTTGTATGACCAGGTCACTAATCAGGCGTTAATTTTTCGAAATGAATTCGTTAATTTCAAGAAAAGGAGTGAAATGATGGCGTACCAAAATACCTCATTGAAAAAAAAGAATCAGGAGACGAATAAGGAATTGAAAATATCTAGAGCCAAAGTTTTGCTTAAACACTTTGTTCAGAGACATTTTCAAGAGCACTATTCTTGGTTAAATACCAGGGATTTTTTTTTTTTTTCCCTTTACTTATGGGCTGTAAACATTGGAAGCCTCTCTCGAACAGACAGTATTTAGATTATGAGAGAAGTTTGTTTAACTGACCTATTTGCCAGAATCCTCAAAACATCACAGGACATGGAAGACAGATGACTTTTTTTTAGGTCAAGACTGTATATTCCAGATAAATGTTGATTCATTTTAACTATTTTTTATCCTAGTTGCTTGTTGCAGATCTGTGTGTCTGAGTCATCAGCCCATGAGAGGAATATTTCTCACTGAAAAACGAAAGAGACACAGCGATTAGATGATCTTACATTCAGTCTTTTTAGAGATCATTCACATTTTATATGTCTAAAACATGATCAGATCCAGAACAAAAAGGGGGAAATTAAACAAAATGCTCAATGTATCTCTTTGCAGATTCTTCAGGGAGTAGAGAACATTCACATGGATGACATCCCAGTTTTCTCATCATGTAAGTATATTTTCGGTTATATGTTTTCTTTAAACATATTTATTCAGTAAAAAATTAAATTCATGGAATATACACTTTTTTTTTTTAATTTCACAGGTTGAGTCCAGCTTTTCATTCACTGACAACTAACTCAGAAATCTAAAATTTGATATTTTGAGGTTTGTATTTCCTAATATCAAAAATTCCTTCCTTCTCGTAAGGCATGTTCTTAAGTGGTCTATTTCAAACAAAAGAAAATGACATTCCCCTTTCAGCTAGCAAATGTTAGATTCTCTCAAAGTCGATTGGGGGCTCACTTGGAAGTTTTGCCATTAGAGACACACAAATTGAATTATTTTCATCTCTCCCAAATATCATTCTTCGAACTTTATAAATATAGCAATACTAGGTTTAGCATTTCGTGTGGCTTGTTTACAAATAAGGGTATCTCGATAAAAAAAACCAAGCTCTGTGTACGTTGAAAAGACAAAAACCTGGAACAATCTCATATTAAAACATTACCAAAGGATTGTAAAGGGAAATTTAAAGGGAGAAAACTTGATTATATAATGCAATCCAGCAGTAATCAATTTTACCTTCAATATCTTGCTTTTGTTTTCCAAATGCTAAATAAACAATACATAATGCATCCCTCATCAGCCAAACCATGGAGGCTCTGTGCTCAAATAACAGGAAACATATTCAATTTTCCTAACAGAAGACAGTTCATTAAGCTGTGCCACATCAAATAAAACTTTAATTTCTCCGGCATCAGAGTCGCAATGAAAGCAATTGAAGAAGATGAGCCATATGGTACTTCTATCAGCAAACACATATTGCTCATTCCCCCAAAGTTTTCTAATTCTGCTCCCCAGACCTGCGTAATATAGATAATGTGCTCCGAGAGCAGCAACCATGAGCTATCTAGTGTACACTTCTAATACTGTATTTAATGGGAAATAATGAATCATAAAAGCCTAGAGAAGACGTCTTTTGCTAACCTAAATCTCAGCTGTAATTTCATTGTTCTGTGCCTAAGATGCTGTTTGCCCTTTCCAAACAACAGCAGTTGAGCATAATTATGCTGCTTCAAACCTGGGCTGGCAAAAGCATCCCTAATAGAACCAAGTTTCTATTAACTCCTGAATTTCTGAATTTGATGATGCACTGATGCAGACATGGAGATAACCAAGCATGTGTCATTTTAAAACCCAAAGAAGCGTTTTCTCCTTCTGCTCTTTGGTCAGACTGCTCAATGCTTTTATATTCACTCCCTCCTCCCCACCCCCTCTCACCCCTACCCATGCAACAGGAGTGGCATGATTAAAAATGAGGAGATTTTCTTGTTATTAGCAAATTTGACATTTGTCTGATGAAATGCACATAAAATGTGAAAGCTACACAGTGCTCAGAAGAAATGTCTCCGCTCCAATCCAGGCTACTGAGATGAAATAATTTAGGTAAAGCAAATGTAAAGATCCTCGTACATCTTTACTCAGAATGCTAGGATTGGATTATAAATGAAAGAACCAAATATTGCTGAGCTTTTAGAGCGATGGTATTTTGACACATGGGAAGCGTCTAGTGTTTCATCTCTCACCTTAACTGCCTTGATTATTAACCTAAACATCATACATATGCTCAAATGCAGCAATTTCTCTGTCCTGGGTCCAGCCTGTCTTCTGGCAAGAGATTGGGGTTGGGGCTTAATTCCTTTTTAGAGAAAAAAAAAAAATTTTTTTTCCCCCCAAATAGGTTAATGATTTTAGCTTTTCCATTTTTAAAGCTCATCAAATCAATATTTTCCCAACACAATGCTCATTTAAAACACCATCAAATAACACTGCGGATACATATTGAAAACGTATTTTAATGGTTTTGTTTGTTTTGGCAGCAAACTAACCAAGGACGATTAAATTAAAAAGAGACTTTTAAAAGTTAGAGATTGCCTTTTTAACGCTTATTAAAATCAGCATGTTACATGCCTGTCTTTGAATTAGCTCTACACACTTGATTGCCATCATTAAAACTAGTTGTTTGGGTGCTGGTCTGTGATGGCTCAAACCCTTCCTCAAAGCCGATTCTTACCAGTTATTAACTTGACGTCTCTTTTCATTGAAATTAAAAAGAAAAAAATCATTCTGGCCCGTGGAAGAAACAGTCACCAAAACGTGAAATAGCTCAGCGAGACAGCAGTATGAAACTGAAAAGACCAACAGGTAAAAAGAACTACAGTCACATCTAAAACATATTCAGGAAAAAAAAAAAAAAATCACAACGACAACACAGAAGCAGTCCATTGATTATATTTCATGAATGCCTTAAAACAAATGTTTAAACAGTTTTCTGAAACAGTGCAGAAAACCCCTGCATGCTCCACTGGCTTGCAATGACAATGGCCTATTGCAATGTAAAACACGCTGGAGAATAAAAAGGTGCTTTTTGTTACCATTTTATCAAAGCTGTTCATCTTGGAGCTGCAGGCAGCATTTTGCTGGAATTGCAGATATTTCTCTGTCCAGGCTCTTTTGTTTGTGCATCTCATTTGCATATATTTTTCTCCAGCTGAGGGTGCTTTCTGCTCATTAAGGCCTCCCTTCCCATTATTTCATAAGCCAGCTGCTAAGAGGGATTTCACCTGTGGTGACTGAGAAAAGAGGGGTGAAAAACTAAATTCTTCATAAAAAGGAAATCTTCTGAGTCTCTTCCCCTATAAATGGGCACCATTTGTGTTAAACAGCCTCTTGTCATGATAGATGCCTCCGGAGGTCAGGGGTTAAAGTTGATTGGAAGGTCAGCAGTAAAACAACAGACAAACCAGACGCCAAACTGGTTCCTTAGCTGTCGGTGGGAGCTGTGGTGCAAACAGGTCTTGAACCTTTTTCAACCTCTAATAAAACAGGGGATGAATCTGAAGTGGATCAACCAGGCCCCTGAGGCAGCAGCACAGAAAAACACAAATAATATCAATATCAGGCAGCCACAGGAAACAATGGGGCATTTCTCCGTGCTACGTGCATGCTGCTATTGTTTCAAGGGCTGGGGAATTAATTCCACTTATTTATTTAAGGCGTGTCAACTCACTGCCTAAACCTGTTTCAGTGTCAAGATGAATAAAACTTTTATGGCTCATAAAATAGAGCCATTCATCTCAATGCTCTTTGTGGTACGTGTTTTTTTTTGTTTTTTTTTTTTTTCTGGCACACTGAGCTAGGCCTCTGCTCCTAGATGGTTACATCTGAACTGTTGCTATGATCCACACCATATTAGAGAACAAAATGATTTCACCGGCAAATGGATCTCAAAAGAAATGACACAGGAAGGTATTTTAGCTGCGATATAATAGTCCCCAAATGCCTCTGAAATCCTCATCGTGCACTTGTATCTGTTTTGAGCATGCGTTATTGACAAAGCAGAAGTTTTGTTATTTTAGAGGAAAGTTACAAAATGCTAACAAGAAAAAGTTAGTTTTCTGGAATATCATGCATTTCATTTGACTTTAGAAATGCAACCTGGTTAGGGTACCTGTTTCCCATTCAGCACCTTTAGCCCAAGTTTTCACTGCTGTGTACTCAGTTTGCCCTGATGGAATAATTCAAATGCCTTCTTTAGCTCCACAGCTTTGAATTTTATGTTTAATTTTGAACAGAAAATGCCAAATATAAATGGAAAAGAAAATGCATTTCAGCGCATTTTTGCATTATACATTTTTCAAAGTTCAGTTGTAGAATCAATTTTACTTTTGATTTCCTACTGATGACTTTAATAATAATATAATACTAATAAACAAGTTAACATTTATGAAGTGCCACACACAGTGCGGAGCACACACATGTTCTCACGCAGTTTTTAGTGATAATTCAATCCAAGTCACAGAAACCCATTTAGAATAATAATGATACTCTTCAGTACCCAGACCATATCTTAGAAAACAAAAAAAATTCCAATCAAACAGTATCATTCTAGCAGATGCTTTAACAGGGAACATCATGGGAACCAGATTGCTTTATATTAAGATGAGCGAAAAGAAACAACTCCATGGCATTTCACAAATTCTCCAATCACGGGTCAAATCTCATACATCACAGCTCTTTGCTCTGTTGCAATGTAAATTGATTTGTGGGTGATTCACTTACTCTGTTGTCCCAGTTGCTTTGCTTTTGAGATCTCCAGTGAATATTGTAGCCTTTACTTATGATGCCGGATTATTTCTAATTTAGTCAGTCGGCAGGTCAGTTTTTCCACATGAATTCAAGTTTTTCCAGCAAGTAGATTATTTGAGGATAGCCCAAACAGAAGTTGTGCTTTCACATTTTGCTCATGGGTGAAGATGTGGCCCTGGGGAAAGAGGGGTTCGGTTTTTGGGTGCCAAGCACTGCTTAAGGTTCAGCTGCTCTTTCTTTCCCATTTGAACTGGTGCGTGTACCAGAGCTCTGCATAGGGGTGGTCCCTTTACCAAGCAGCCCTGTTTGAAAGTGGAATTGCTTTCAAGTGGCCACCAGACCCTGAGAAAAATATTTCAACTCAAAATTGATTAGGTTTTGGTAATCTATGGCAATGTGTTCTTATTTAAGCATGGAACAGGAGATTTTTCTTCTATGACCCATTACAGTTTAAAAAACGCAAGAAGTCTTGCTACACACAAGACGTTCAACTTGTGGTTGGAGAAATTTTCCAACTTACGAAATGTTGTTTATATCCTCCTCTTTGTACACCGTCTGCCTTCCCAGAGCTCCCTCTGTATCCGAGTTACCAACTTTCTTTCGGACCTTTCACATTAAATTTAACCCCACTCCCATCTGGCAACCTACACCCTCCAAGTGACTAGAGCAAAAATACACAGTTTACTCCCCCCCAAGTCTGCACTCTCGTCCCTCGTTTTTCTTTTGCTCTAATCTAATCACTAATTCTTAAGCTTGGCCAAATAGTTAAAAATGTTAAGTGCTAGCAAGGCCTTCTACCTCCCCCTCATATCTGTCTCTGTTTATGGAATGGGCTCAGTTTCCTCCTCTTCTCCTTCGGCCTGGGGTCTTCGGGTCAGAACACTGTAAATACACACAGCTCTGGCTCGACCCATAAATCTGAGCAAAGGGCAGGCTTATATATTCAGATAAGCACGGGTTGGGGCGGGAACATGGAAGGAGAGCAAACCAGCAGAATCTGACGCCCTGCAGCAATG